CTTCACTCCAGTATAGGATCTAGTCTAAGGTCAGGTATTGCATTTGTCATGTCTGTCTAGCTTCCTATCATCTGGAACATTCTCCCACAGCCTTTGTTTGACATTTTGAAGAATACAGTCACCTCCCACCACCATCTTTAAAAAAGTAGAACATTCGGCCAGTTGTGGTGGCTCACGCCTGTAATCCCAGCACTTTAGGAGGCCGAGGCAGGCAGATCACCTGTGGTTAGGGGTTCGAGACCAGCCTGACCAACATGGAGAAACCCCGTCTCTACTAAAAATACAAAAAATTTGCTGGGCATGGTGGCGCATGCCTGTAATCCCAGCTACTCGGGAGGCTGAGGTAGGAGAATCATTTGAACCCAGGAGGCAGAGGTTGCAGCGAGCCGAGATCGCGCCATTGCACTCCAGCCTGGGCAACAACAGCAAAACTCTGTTTCAAAAAAAAAAAAAGAAAGGACATTTTCTGTTTATATTTAATTTTCTCTTTTCTTTTTCTGGTCTTACTGTATAAACAAAAACTTCCAAAACAATGTTAGGTAACAATTGTAATATAGGTGTCTGTGTCTGTTACTGATTTTTATTGGAAATGAAAGTAACTTTCACATTTTACCATGTACAAGGATGCTGATGTTGGTTTTGGTCAATAGTTTAGTGTTCAAGTAGTTGCTTTCCATTCCTGTTTTATATAGAATTGTATTAGAAACAGATGCTTGGCCAGGCACAGTAGCTCACCCCTATAATCCCAGCACTTTGGAGACCAAGGCTGGCAGATCACCTGAGGTCAGGAGTTCGAGACCAGCCTGGCCAAGATGGTGAAACCCCGTCTCTACCAAAAATACAAAAAATCAGCCAGGCGTGGTGGCACGCGCCTGTAAGCCTAGCTACCTGAGAGGCAGAGGAAGGAGAATTGCTTGAACCCGGGAGGCAGAGGTTGCAGGGAGCCGAGATCTCACCATTGCACTCCACCCTGGGGGACAGAGTAAGATTCTGTCTCAAAACCAACAAACAAGCGAAACAGATGCTGAATTTTATCAAAAGCCTTTTGGCTTCTATTTACATAATCTTGTAGGATTTGTTTTTAATCTATGTTGACAAACTCTCTATTATTATAATTTTTGTTATCAAATGTTGACAAATTCCGTAATGTTGATTGCTCTAGTCTTGCATTCTTGGATTAAATCCTACTTGGTCATACATGTTTATTTAATACACTGCTTGATTAGACTAATAATTTATTTCTGCATCTATGTTAATAAGAGAAATTGATCTATAGTTTTCCTTTTGGTACTATCTTTAATGTATTTGGGAGTTAGGGGGGCTTTCTGTTTGGTAGTTGTTTCCTTCTAATTGTTACTCATTTTATTTTATTAGTTTAACTAGCTCCTCCAGTACAAGGCTGAATAGAATGAAAATAGCAGAGATTCTCGCTTTGCTCCTAATTTTAAAGGGAATGCTTTATGCATCATACCATTGAATATCATATTTTCTGTAGGGTTTGTTTGTTTTTTGTCGAGACAGGGTCTTGCTGTGTCACCCAGTGCAGTGGTGCGATCTCAGCTCACTGCAACCTCCGCCTCCCAGGTTCAAGCGATTCTCCTGCCTAAGCTTTCCCAATAGCTGGGATTACAGGCATGCGCTACCACAC